GGTTTGGCTCATCGAATTCATTTTTTAGGATATCTGAAATTCTTTGGTTACTGAATTGAATTTAATTTTTATTAGAATATAAAATATTAATATTATTATGAGGAAGACTTATTTTTCAAATTTAATTATATTTTATTAATATAATAATTTTTGAATGATAACTTATTTAGATTTACTTAATTGCATAATTATTTTTTTAATTATTATTCAATATTATTAATTAAAAATAAAATCTTAAAATACATACATTTAGGATGATTCAATTTTTAGAAAGAATTTTGCTTTTGGAATCTTGTATGAAAGTAAACTTGTTTCTACTGAAAAACCCTACTAGTATCTCTTTATTTTTATCAAAGATAAATAAAGAAAAACAAATTAATTTTTTAGAAATCATACTAAATGATTAATTTTTGAAGCCATAGTAAACAATAAAATTATATCAACAATCATTCCATTTAAGAAGAAAATAAGTATTCTAAAGCACATTTTAAATTTTTGTTGACTTTCTAATCAGATAACTTTTTTTTTAACATCATACCCATAATTTAGGTGGGGAATTTTTGAAAAAAATAGTAAACAATTAGAATCGAAACTTAAAAATTTAATATATTAAATATCCTATTTTCAGGTTATTCTTTAGTAAAATACACCAACATAAGTCATTTTCTTAATTTAAATGCATTCAATTTTTAACCTTACATATCAATTTTGTGAATTCTTTAAGTTAAATAGAATTTATGAATATTTTAAAAATATTCTCAATATTTTATGTCAAACCAAAACCATTATTAATTAATCAAAGCATCCCTTTTTTACTATAAACTTAAAAATATCATTTTAAACAATAAATTTGACTAAATTTATAGATGCTGAATTTACTTTAAGACTTAGGAAAAAATTTTTTTTGAAAATGAAAAAATTAAAAACCATCAATTAAATATAATATAACTTTAGTTTATCAACATTTTAAATCTTAAAATATATTAATAATCAATTAATAATTATTCATAAGCTTTACCTAAATGCAAACTTAAAAAAAAAATAATGAATTTTAGGATTATTCAACAACAATAAGAACTATAAGGTTTCTATAATTTAAAGAAAGTCCTAATATTGCATATCATATTTTCAAAAAAAGAATTAAACAAATTTATTTAAAGAAAAACAATTTCTAATTTTTGACTGAATTTTAAATTAGTAACATTTTACTGAAATGATATTTTTCTTAATAGAAGAATTAGGATGAATGCTTAAAAATAAATTTCAAATTTGGGATGCAGTGTATCTTCAGGAATAAGATAAAGATGACAACATTGTTATAAAAGGATATTAATTACTCTACACATTGTATTGATTTTAATCATAGACATAAATATCTAAATTTAAAATATATATGCGAAAAGCTTATTGGTTTAATAAATTACCTTGCAAATATTCTTTTTTTAATAATAAGTTAACAAAAAATAGATTGTAAGAAAATCATAAAACATAAATACAAATTTCAAATTAAGATGATGAAATGAATTGATTAATTTTTTTAATTATATCATAATCTCATTCATTCATTATATTCTTTTTCACCGCTATATTGATATTTTTAATATAATATTTACACTTTTTAAAATTCCTTTTATCCATTTTCTCTCTTCATAACATCCCATTTAGAAATTTTAAAACCATTTCTATAAACCCCATGATAAATAACTTAAATATAACTAGGATAATAAAAAATTTTACTTTTGAAATTGATCACTTAATTCAATCCATTTTCCTGTTTTCACATCAATCTATGCCTACTACTATTCATCATATATTCCACCTCCACTATGAAAATCAAATTATTTCTAAATTTTACATCAGGGAAAATGGTTAATTATGTTTCTCCCTCCAACAAAAATTCCATCTACCTACTTTTTAACCCTTTATATATTCACCATTCAAAGTAATTTAATTTTCACTAATTTAAAATAATTAAAATAATCGTACCATCTAAAATTATCAAATGGTACTATCCATTTGCCTATCTTAATCTCATCCCCTAATATTTTTTATTTATCATAAGATCCACCACCACTTTAAATAATCAAATTATTATACATATATTCAAATTTATTTCTCTCTTTGTACTAATATTTCCATTTACCTACTTTCTTACCTCTTTCAAATAATCCTTTTGAAATAACTTTACTATCACTAAATATGTTTATTCTTTAAATTTTAATATACCTTCTAAAAATGTCCTCCAAAACAATCCATTTACCTATCTTTATTCCACCATCTTCTTATTTATCTTCATATTATCCACCTCCACTTTAATATCATATTAAAATAGGATATTTACATTTTTTCATTTTTATTCCAATAAAAAAAAGTATACCATATTCCAACTTTTTTTAGATTAGTATATTCTCCTTAATATGTAATTTATTTGTTCCTAAAATAAAGTTCATAATTTATTTTAAGTACCTATGAAAGTCATCACAAATTTCTATCCAATATCCTTACTTAATTGTTTACCCTTACAGATTGATATATTCTCCTCCTCCTCTAATAAATAAATAAATATATCATTTTTACATTAGATTATCCTAATTATTTTCGTCCTTTCTAAAATAAGTATTCCATTTACTAATTTTTATACCATTTTTATAAACACCTTAATAACTAACCTAACTAAATCTAATAGGAATTATAATTATAGAAGTAAATACCTCCAAAATTAATCACTTAATTCAACCCATAAACCTTCTTTAATTTCAAACCCTTCTTACTTATCATTATATACACCGCATCCTCTGAATAAAGAAATAAATATATATATATTACATCAATTTCGTTGTTTTTTTTAAATTATCCTTATAATTGATTTACCATAATCCAATTTTTTTGCCATTTCTATATTACCCTTAAAAAGTGATATCTTTCTCACTTTTATAATTATTAATTAAATTAATATATTTAAATACCTTCTAAATTTATCACAAATTTCCAACCATTTTCCTCTCTTTATACTATTACCTATTTACCTTTCTTCATAAAAACCACCTCCTCTTATAACAGAAAATTTAAAATAAGAATAATACATCCAGGTACATTTACCTATTTTGTAATCATCAATGTAAATATCCCATCTACCAACTTTCTAACCTTTTGAATATTCACCTTTATAAAAAACTTAGCTTGCCCTAAAAAGATTAAATGATTGTAAAATACATTTAAGGCTAATCAACTATTTCAATCCATTAACCTATTTTAATTTCCATTTCATTTAATTATTGATCATTATAAATACCACCACCACTAATATAAATGATTTAATATAATATTTGTATTGATACAATTATGTATACTAATTTGTATTAGGATCCATAAATTAAATATTCCATTTACCAACTTTTTTCCCATTTTAATATTCACCTGAATAGATAGCTTATCCAATACTATTAAAAGTATAAATAAATTCTAATACTCACAAAACCAATCACTCAATTCTATCCATTTTCCTATTTTAATTCCTAAATTTTGTTGTTAATCATATTATCCACCTCCTCTAATTTAAGAATAATGATTTTTTCTTTTACATCTTTTAACCATTCTAAATAAAATTCCAACCACCAATTTTTATGCCATTATGATATTTCCCTTTAAAGGTTATTTCATCGTTATTAATTGAAAATTATCTTTCCAATACACAATACTTTCGATATCCATCACCAATTAATTCAACCCATTCTCCTATTTTAAATTCAGTATTATTTTGTTATTAATCATCATATGATCCACCAGCTCTAAGATAATTAAATAAAATAAATTTTTACATTTATTAAAATTATAAATTTATGTTTTCCCTTGTTTTTGTAGTCCATCTTCCAACCTTTTTACCATCCTTGTATTTACCTATATAAATAATTTAACTCTGACTAATTAATAATAAAATTAGAAATTCTAATACTGCCAAAAGTTTTTGCTTAATTCAACCCATTCCCCATTCTTTTAACCGAAATCATTGTACATTCCATAACCTCTAAAAATAAAAT